ATTAAACTTGTCGATCTTTTCCTAAATATATGGGATTTTTAAGTCATTGTGTATAAATTCATGGGAAATAAATCTGTAGCCATTAAAAATTGTTTGAAGAGCGGTTATATAAAATCTTTGTTATATTTCTATATTAACAAATAAAAGAGAACCGATTTATATATCATATAAAACGATTTATATGCAATTTAGCAATAATTTTAAATAAAATACGTTTATATATGTTATTTTATTTCTTTTGAATCCTTGTATAAACAAAATATATAATTTTGAATAGTTCGGTTTATGTAAGGGTTATTGAGACATATTTAACCGATTTCATTCAACCCAACAACAGTTCAAAGTCTGTACCAAACTGAGACGATAGTTTGTGTTTAAATAGACAGACTGACGTCGAACTTATACTGGCATGAGTCTGTCAATAGTTTTTGCCGTGTACACAAGATGCTCCATTGTTTGTAATGTGTGCACATATGTTTTTACAGTTGTTAGAGCAAACGATTAGAGGTTTTATTGTGCCTATCACACCGGCTTAGCCTGCTGAGTCGCAGGAAATTTTTTTTATATTAATTTATACGTATGAAACCAACATTTTTCTAAAAACCATATGAAGTATATGAACACTTAATATTTACATATGTATATATGTATGTACATTTTTATGTTAACTTTAAAAACATTTTCATTTTCCGTTTAAATCAATGCAAAATCATGATCAATTAAATATACACGAGTACGAGTATGAGTATGAGTAAATAACAACTGCAGCAATAACAATACATTAAGAGTCGGAACAGCTGTTTTTGGGTGCACGTTGTTGTCAATGTTATTTGTTTGTTTTTGTATTTGTTATTAATTTCTGTTTTGTTTTGGATTTAGTTGTTGTTTTTGTTTTCCCCCATTAGCTCTACTCGTTTATATTTGGTTATCTCTCTTTATTTGTTCATATTGAAATATGCTCTTATATGGCTTCTGAGATAGCGAAGTACACTTTGAGTTGTGTTATACGTTCAGAGACATATGTTTACGTATATATGTGTCTCTTGTGTGGTGCGCTGCAATGCGTTGTATTTGTGCTGTCCGCTCTCCGTATCAGTATCGGTTAAGTTTACTCTTTTTTTTATAATTATTTTTGACAGCATGTATGCTGGTCTGTTGCTTTGCCCCGTTGTCCTAATATGCTTAAGTGTGTGGAGAGTCATTTTTATTATTAGTTTATGACCTCATCATCGATTTTATTCTCCAGTTGTTGTTTTTTAATGCAAAACGAGTCTGATTTGTCAAATCAACAACTTCAACCAAAATCGTTTTGTGTATAAGAGCTTTAGACGGCTATGATGGCGGCTCTGTTACAATATTTGTAATTTCTGAAGTGTTGTTTTTATTATTGTTGTTGTTGTTGTTTCATTGACAAGTTGTTTGTAACGACATTGTTAAGAATTTCCTTTCCGTAAAGCTATGCGTTCGAAAATTGCTTATAAAAGCCAATTGTTTTTTTTTTTCTTACAAAATTGTTTAAAGTCTATTAATAAAGATTTTGAAATGGTAGACTGCACTAAATAATGAAGCCTACTGCAAGCAACTGACATTGGTCTTTCTGTTCATTTAGGTACTTCAGGTACTATTATAGTCTTCATCTAAGTAATCTGGAATAGTATTATTGGGTATGGCAATCTAGACTAGAGTTTGATCAACCTTTAAAATCCACTTACTAAAGCCAAATGAAGAGGTGTATTTTCAATATACAATAAATACGTTAAAAAATTTTAATTTATTTGTCAATCCTATTTACCTATTAACTATTATAGTCGCAATATCCTGATACATGATATGACTAATTATCAGTTTTATCATTTCAATTAGAATATAAATATCGAAAATCACTTGAAGTGATTCATTGTTTCGTGAGCGGTATAAAAAAACGTGTCTAAGCTTTAATAGCTGACCTAATGCCCTAGGAATTTAAATTTTTTTGTTTTTTCATATAATCCAATTTATTTGAACATGTTTAATAGATGATGATGTGATTACACACCATATTAAGCTGTTATTAAAATCAACGAAGTTTTCATTATATTTCAATATATTCGACATATGTTCGACATATATTCATGTTGCACGGGTCAGCCCACACCGAAAATACCAAATTCAGAATCTTGTTTCTTATTTTGGCCCACCTAAATTAAACAACTTTTTGTTACACAAAACTATAAAATATGTACGTGATCGTATAACGATTTACTAAAAAATATTATTTGAAATATTTAAATATTTGTATAAAATAACTATTACACTTTACTTCGACTTGTTGGATACTATATGAAATAACTTAAAATATCGTAAAATAAATAAATTGAAATTTAATTTTAGGAAACCAGAAGAAATCAGAAATCCAGTTCTAATTTTTACTTTAAATATTCCGAAATATCCTGCTATTAGATTTGTTTCCCTAAAAAGGGTTTGGGAACCAGAACTGACTACAATGCAAGAAAAAATAGCAATTTACATTGACAGGTCAAAGATTACTAAATTCTACCAAATTCTACCAATATTTCAATCATAAATTTTTGTCAATCTAAGAGTCTGTTCTCTAACTGCGAGCATTAACTTTCATGAAAAGGAACTCTATAGTCTCACTCATAGTCAGGCACTCATAGTATAATAAAGATTATTCAGCAGTTTGTATTTCTTCTAAAATAGTTAATGAATGTAAACGATGTATTAACGTACTAAACAATAGCTCCAAAGTAACTCTAGTTTGGGTTCCTGGGTATTCTAATATATATACATAGGATATCATAAAGCCAAGCTTGACTTGCCCAGTTAAATCTTCTGTAGTACATGCCTACCGGCGCTAGAAGAAGAGAAGCTTGTTGTATCTATGTCCAGGTCTGTCCAGAGCCAAACTTAAGCTATTGGGCGCTACATTCATTCATGACACTCTCGGACAGATATTAGCATTTATCAATGCGTCCGACTGATTTTATAATGCCCATCATTTTACCCATAATTACAAGGAATGTGAAATCAATTAGCTTTCTTAACTCAGTGTGGTGGATTCGGTTCTCTTTCCACTTCACTTATACCTATACCATAAGTTATGAATCTACTGTCTACTACCTACCATAATAAATATAAATATGTACATATAATTGAGAAGGTTTATTAGTTTTATCAACATAAAATCGTTCTGGCATCAACTCAGTATGTGTTAAGGTCATCACTCAATGATTATAAATTTGAATTTAAAAAAATTTAATTTATTTTTCCTTGAAAGGCATAGTTTTAACTAGTTTTTTTATTCGATAAATATTAGAGCCTCCAGATTCTCCATAAATGTTCCCATTTACAATATATAATATTATAAATGTATAATGCATTATGGAACAAACTTAAATTGTATCTTTCTTTAATAACTACTTGCTCTGTAGGTAAATATTTTGTTTCTAGTAAAAAATTGTTTCTTTACTTCATAACTGAAAACTTAATCAATAGATGAGTTTAATCTATAACCACAAAATCATAGATATTGTTCTTGAAAGTAAAATGACATTAATCTCTAGAGAAAAAGCTTCTCTTAACTTCTTGACTAAAAATATGATCATTAGATGAATTTAATCTATAAACAAAAACCATTGATATTATTCTTGAAAGTAAGGAGACATTCTTTCTAAGTCCATCACTGTAAGAAGACGGGTATAATACATATATAAGGAAATATTAATAATCACCAATAAAGTAATGGAGTCTTTTTCAGTTTTTGTTTAGACTAATCGTTTTTATAAAATTTCAGATATTCAGTATCTGAAACAAACAATAGAGTATCTAAACAATATTCATATTTAAGAAGTATTGAGATGTTTTTTGCGAAGAAATATATGTACAGTTGTTCGTACAATTTTACTTGCACTTCTTTCACACCGATGCACAAATTCTGATTATGTGATATGGATATAGAGTGATCATGAGATGGATTAATGTTATATACTCGTATTAAAAAAATATTTCTTATATAGATTATTTCTTTCATAGATTATAGGCAAACTATATGAAACCATACTAAATTCAAAAAGTTATAAGCAACATTTGAATTTTGCATCAATGAGATTATTGTCTATTAGGAAAGAACTCATAATATGGAGTCATCCTGAAGATTTGTACCAAATATCCGTAACCGAGTACCACGTTTGCTGTGGACGTGACATTACGAAAGATCCACATACTGTTGTATGACGTATGTAGTAGGTGACTTCACCACAGTAAATGACTTGAAAAATGCACTTTGTATTTTATAGAAATCAAATAAAAAATTTTGTAATCGTTAATTTGGATTTCAATCTATCGAACCACTTTTCTGCTGAGTGTTTCAGTTTTTCTAGTCCAGATACGGAAGTAAACAAATCCATTTGTGTAGCGTACACAGATTCTGCTACTCACATTAGAATCTACGGAATTGTATTTTATCGCTTGTTCAGAAATATTTTGTATTTTGTTTACATTTTGCAATTTCAGATTTCAGATTTGTGTATTCGTTTGAATTTGATAATGAAAAATTTTCTCTGTATTATAATTCGTTTTGGGAGCCCCAGACGATTTCGTGTTTTTAATTATTAGAAAATGTACCATATCGTTTTCTAAGTAGACTTTGGAACAGTTGTGTTTCTGTGGTGTTGAATTAATTACAATTTAAATTAAAACTATACTAGAGAACAAGACTCACTGTTCTCCACATACTCCACTGCACCAGAAGTCTAATTATGACACAAATCATTTGGTTATTCGTTATATGTTTGATTGTGGGCACCTGTGAGACAATACCACTGCCTCCTCTATCTCTATCATGCCGTGAAATACCTCGAAACGATATTTCAAATGGAGAGTCGACGAAAGATTTCTTTAAGTGAATAATTCTTATTAAGTTATTCTGTAGATATAAAATTTAATTTCATTTATTTGATTTCATGTGTAAAACTAAAATAAATTTTTCTTTTTTTTTGCAGGGAAGTACTGAATGCATGGCGTGCCAAAGCGCGTTGCAATGTTGTGCCCGTAGAACGAACTTTGGAGCTCTTCCACGAGTTAAGCTTTCATCCAAATGACAAGCAAAGTAATTGCATCAATTTATTATATTCTATATAATTTAATTATATTTTAATTTAATCATATCCATTAAACTTACAGTAAGCGAAATGCTGCAGACAGCCAAAATGTTGGCACGAAAAAGTAGTCGTCAGTCAAATGGCTTAACTTTCGGAGAATTTTGCGTACTAGCAGCTGACTTAAAACGTTTTCGGTAAGTTTCACATCAATTTATTTACAAAAAAAATAAATAGTTATAATACGAGTGCTCACGACTTAGATGGAATAACTAATCTAATAGAATATAGAATATGCTATATATAAAAATATATAGAATATATAGTATATAATAAAAGAGGACTGTTCAAGTAAAGTCAGCAAATAGTGTTTTTAATCTTTAAAAATTTTATTTTACTATTCTATTCAAAATCAGTTGATTTATATAAATTTATTGATACGAAAATGTAATAGCAATTCAAGAGCTCCATATTCTTTCCGATCAACTTCTATTGCAATTCTTTCAACAGTTTCCTGTACCACATTAACATATCGCGCTCCCTCGCGCATTTGTTTCTTTTTGTACGGTGTAGTAGAAAATAGTGATAGACCATTAATAATCTATCTCTAATCTGATTGATTATTAATGCAAGATTTTTACTACTCGTATTCTCATAACAGTAATTGTGATTTTTATAATAAGAAATCCATTTTAAATAGAAGTAATTGTGAGGAAATTTTAGAGTCCAAAAACTCTTTTAAAATTTTTTAAACAATTAAATCCTTGGACTGACCAAACAGTTGTTTCAGATATCGTGATAGTGTAATACTAATTTGGCGATTAATACAAGCTATAATAAATTTGATTTTAGTTCTAGATAATGTCATAATCTGTCCATCTAAACTCTTATATTACTGCTGAAGTATTGACCTTTCAAATATGTAAACCTTGTTGAAAGTGCACATAAAAATAAAACTTTACAAATTGTATTAAATTATCGTAAATTAATTAATAAACATTTCGTTTATTGAAATTGTTGCCAAAGAATATTTTTTCCGGGACTTAGCTTGAGCTTGTTATTATAAAAAGATATGTTTACTTTATTAAGAAAATTTTCTACCTCCACTGCTGATGATGGAAAAGAATTCACATCAAAATCTAACAATTAACAAGTATATTCTAACAATTAATATTTGAATTGCATAAACTGAGCTCCACTGCTAACAAAATATGCATTTATATTGAAAATTAACGAGATCTGTGAGTTTACGTTTCTGGAAACTATCACTATAATGGCGATGGCACATCTCTTGAAGGCATCCAAGTCTTTTTGTTAATTTGTACATGGTTTAATACAAATCAACTCTCTACTGTTGACTTTTTAATTTGTTGGTGTTAAGCCCTTCCCGATGTTTCTATGTATTGGTTAAGCATCGAAGTTGAAGTTTGTTGAAATTGAAAACGTTCTTCACATATTTTTTCTCTGCTATAAGTTATTATATTATTCCTTTTGATTTCTTTTCATAATAGTACGTTTCCACTGGCTTCGTTAGACCAGTCAACTAACTTGAGATTTAAGTAATTCAAGCACTCTCAAGTAAGTTAACTGACCTAACGAAGCCAGTGGAAAACAACTGTTATATTAATCATTTTTGCATCGTCTTTTATTTATAAAATTTTATTATAAATAAAATAATTTAAAAGCTTATATATACATATATACATATAGATTATTAAAAGTAGAATATATATATATATATATATAGAAAGTAGCGTTTTGTAGTGTGATCCATATAAAACCACTTTTTTACATTTCGCATTTAGTTGGCACATTGCAATGCCAACTATTTCGAAATGTCACCGAATGACTAAATTATTTTGATTTTCTAGTATAATAATTAAATACTATTATTTATTTTTAGAACTGCATCATCAATCTGCAGCAAAGTGAGTTTACTAAGTTCTCTTCAAAATGATGACAACGATGTTACAGCTTATGACACCGACACCAATTGCAGCATTGCAGACGCTAAAATAGGTGCAGAACTACGTAGTTCGAAATCACTTAGTAATGTTAAAGACTGCACAACTACGACAACAACGTCATCAATCCAACCTAAGGACGCATCAATGCCAGTTGAAGTATTTTTGGGTGGTTCATGTAATCCTACCACCTGGCGAGCCGATGTGGCTATTCCAACACTGAAAAAGTTAGGCATTTCATTCTATAATCCCGTATGTATTGTATATAAAATAAACGCGAATTCCAAATAAATATTTACTTTTTCGATTTATTGACTTTTAGCAAGTTTCTGATTGGACGCCTGATCTCATTGAACTGGAGCACCGCGCTAAAGAAAAAGCGAGAGTTTTATTTTTTGTTATGGATTCAGAGACACGCGCATCTGCTGGTGCCATAGAGGCGGCACATATAGCGGGTCAAAACTGCAAGCAGCTAGTGTTAGTGCTACATCCGTACAAACCGAATCAAAATATTCTTGATGAGCACATATCTCAACAGTAAGTTTAATACTTTATATTTCCATTTAAATATAATATTTTTACTATAACGTGTTAAAAAATTTTATTAGGGAATATATTGACTTAGTTCGGAATCAATTGATATTAAAAGAATTGGTGACCAGACGTGGCTTATCAGTACTTGATAATATACCATTAGGACTGCAGCGGACCAAAGACATTTTGGCCGGCATTAGAGATCCACCCTCGAATATAGCTTCAATTTTAGTGTAAAGAATGCTTTGAAATTAAAAACAGATCCATAACTAACTCATTGCTATTTTTACAGTGTAGTGCGCGGTGCTTTTGATCGCATTAATCCAGTAAATGATTTTATATCTTTTGAACAGTGTCAACGTGCTCTCTCATATTTAGGTTATGCTCAAAGTCTACTTAATACAAGCAGCTTAAGCAAAATCATTGCATCTCAGCGAGAATTTCTCGATTCATTGCAAAAACGTAGTACAAAACAGTGTGCTCAAAGCAACACAAATCTTCACAATAGTAACAGTACCTTATCGTCCTCATTTCTGTCTTCTTCCCAATCTTCTGACTCAGCGTCAAGTGCTGCATATATGGCTCAAACAAGTAATATAGATTTCGATCTATTCTGCGTTATATCGGCTTATCTGTCAGTACTGCAACAAGAAATACACGAAAGCGGTTGTATATCTCCAATTAAGGGTACCAATGTGCCACCACCTCCGGTTTATTTAACGAATATGCAAGGTAAATTACAAAATTTTATATTAATAAGTAAAAGTTATTAAATTAATAAATCAATTAATAAATTTTTTATTACAGGTGATGAAGGTTTTCCCATTGGATATTTTGTCAGTAAAAATATTTCTCGCACCTCCAGTAACACCAGCGTACCAAATAATGACGAACGTCAGAGCCTTAATGACATACTAAGTCGTAGCCGAGACAGTGGTACGTCATCACCACAACCATTGGAACCTCTTAAGTCAAAATCTGCTGTACATTTAGGTAACAAAAACACACAAATACATGTCAATGTAAAATCAATTGAAACAATCAAATTAACCCCAACTTCAACAAACACATCTGATTTCACACTTACACGTTCGCAAACAAATTCAGTGCTCAGCAATGAAATCAATGCCGTTGAAGAGGAAAGTGACTCCAACGATTCGGTGTTTTCATCTTGCAGTTCCATTAATTCCATCAACTGCAGCTACAGTGATACAATTAACAGCGTTGAAATGCGGGATGTCTACTTAGGCGGCAGCTGCTTTTTACGCACTAAGTGGCGGCAAGATATAGCCATGCCATATCTGAAGTCGAAGGGTGTAACTTTTCATTTACCTGCTTTGCATGAAAGTATACAACAAACACAACTAGATTTGCCTGATAAAGTATTTGAGGACACACGTTCTGTCGGTTCTCAGGAACGTACTTTCAAACGCATAAAACAAAAATGTCAAATCGCTCAAATCGAAGAAGAAGTGTTAATGCACTCTGAGGAATCTTATAGTTGGTTATTGCCACCAGTGCGGCCGAATCTCTATAATCCCTCACTACTAGACTCGAGTACAGTACTACTCTTCGTAATTACAAATGAAACACGTTCTCTTGCCCCAATGACTTTAGCGGCACATTGTATTGGCCTCATGTACAATGTCGTATTGGCCGTACAAATGTTACCCGATGATTGTGTGATAAGTAATGAAAAGGTAAGAACATAAAAATATATCTACGTTACCTTAAAAATTATTAACAAAATAAAATTATGTTTAATATTTTTTTTATTTGACTTTTTTTTATTCGTTTGAAAATGACAAATCTTTTATATCTTTTTTAAGTCTTTTATAATCTTTTCAAAAAGACATATTAAGGTGGCTTAACTCCGTAAAATAGGGTTAAGTGCTTCAACCCATTTTTAAACATGTTTAAGCTTATACAATTGTTAGAACGTGTTTATTAGAATGCACTAGAACGTGTTTAACTATAAACTTCACAGGGTTGCATTGACTAAACTCTTAAATGCTTACAAAATAATACAATTTTTCTTGATAGTGAACAAATTATTGTAGAAATGTGAGGTGATTTTAAACACGAATTGCGTTCAACAAAAAGGAATTTAACTATATGCGGAAAGATTTTGCTAGGTACGAAATCAATATTATATTATTCTTTTAATCTTTAACAAATCAGAAAAGCCTATTGCAACAAAGTAAACAAAATGATGAAACGACAAAGTTAAACACGTTTAGTTTGTTTTAAATGAAAAGTTTTCGCAAAGAGTTTTCACATTAAACATGTTTAAAGAGACCTTTGGAAATATGCAGATAAATAAAATATATGTAGTTATAAGAGTGATATAATTCAATTATCTTTTATTTAAATAATTAATAAGGTTTTGTCTTTACTTTATTTTGGACTATTTGAACACAGATTGTTTTAATCTATTTACGAAAAATCATCATCTATGGAATGTACGATTAATAAAACACATATAATGTATATAGCATAACATATAATATAAAAAGAGAATATTTAAACTCACTAGAACTATTATTACTTCTTACCAAGTTAAAGATATACTATATTTTACTTTGTTTTTACTTTAATTAAAACTTTATATTTTTTATTTATTATATTAATTTTATTGAATTTACATAAATATAGTTTTATTAATATTGTTTATTTTATTAATATTATTAATTTTATTAATATTATTAATTTTATTATTATTATTTATATATATATTATTAATGTTATTAATTTTATTAATATTATTAATTTTATTAATGTTATTAATTTTATTAATATTATTAAAAAATTTTATAAATATTATTATTTTATTAATGTTATTAATTTCAATAATATTATTAATTTTGTTAATGTTATTTATTTTATGAATATTGTTAATTTTATTAATATTGTTAATTTTATTAATATTATTAATTTTATTAATGTTATTAATTTTATTAATGTTGTTACTTTTATTAATATTATTAATATTATGAGTATTGTTAATATTGTTAATGTTATTCATTTTATTAATATTATATATTTTATTAATATTATTATATGTTTTACTTGAAATAAATTGCAAATCTACTAAAAATGAATATATAGATATAGAATAGAATATCCTATTTTGTATATATATATATATTAAATATATATTATATATATTATATATATATTATATATGTATATATATATTAAATTAAATTCACATTATACTTAGATTAGATTTTTAATCATTTTCTCTCTCGTTTACAGTTAACCCCTGTTGCTATTAAGGACTACAACCGTGGTCGTTCGTATTTGATTGATTTAGCTAAAAGACAAGGTGTACCTGTTTTTAACGATATTAAAGCAGCTTTGGAATGTGCAGTTGAAAAAGTTAGAGCCTGCACCTCAAGAACGTCTAGATGCGAGTGACTCCGGATTCTTTAAACATTTTATCAACACATACTCTCCTTTTATGTACCCATACACGTCCAATGAGCAAAAAAGTGACTATATTTCTACTATTATTATTTATTAAAACATTTAACTTGAAACCTTAAACTAAAACTATTACATATTGCAAATTAATTTTAATACTTAATTTTACACAAAATGTTACGAAAATTTATGTCCATAAATAAGCCTATTTTGTGGTGTGTCCCCTAGTATGTTTTGTTTATTTTTCACTCAAATGTGTTTTTCATTTGTTTTTAAAATTTGACTTACAGATATGTATATAAATATACACCAAACATCGTTAATTTTACTAAATATATTTATATCGTACATACCTATACTTAATATGACAAAAAATTTATTTAACAACAGTAAAACAAAATACAAACTTCCAACTTCAAATTTATGTTTAGAATGTATTTTATTAAATATATTAATAAATAAATAATTAAATCGATTAACTAATTAAAAAGGCTTATGTAACATTAGTTATAAGTAGAAAGTCAAAATACAAACACACACATATACGTATAAAGTAAATTTATATTAATAATTTAATAAATACTATTAAGTAATTACTAAGTAAATAAATGCTAATAAATTATAAGTATAATCGAAACAATTTTTTTTTATTTTTAATTTGTTCAAAATGTTCCAATTATTAGTTTATAATGTAAGGATAGAAAGCGGTCCCTGGAACTGATTAACCTACGATGTAGCACTCCAAAGTATAATTGAAATGTTATAGGCAAAAATGTTTCTAAAAATATGATGTTCATATATCTCTTATTATGTCAACTACATAAAATATTTAAGCAAAAATTAAAGATATAAATTATCTTTAAATAATTTATTATTTAAATTTTATTTTTATTTTGAATTTGACAAGTTTTGAATACTTTTTTCAAAGACATGTTAGCAGTAACGAAACAAAATATAAGTCGTGGACTTAACAGCAGTCATTAAAAACTGGTATAAAAAGTTACAATTTATAATTTATAAAAGAATTAAATAAAGTTCACACAATTTTATGCAACATCAAAGACACAACTAAGGACAGTTGGAAAATAAATCAATTAAGATGTACATATATTAAGAGACTATAAGAACACCGTGACAATTTGACTCAACTATCTTGATAATATATAAAAACCTTATTACAAATACAGCAGAATATTGAGATTAGCCTGTTTTATTTTCTGACAAATTGTAAATTAATGATAACACGTAAAGAATAAAGATTTTGCTTAATAAATATACGTCTTCTACAGGTGCCAACAGCGGCCGGGAAACACTCAACACCCTCTATATAGTGGCGGTTATGTAAATATCTCTAAAACCATGTGTCTGACACTATAAACACATATTGAAATCTTTTCTTATTTACATTTCAGCCCTTCGAACTATATTTGCCATATAAACGATGTAGTTTAATTTTATTCCTCTTTTTTTAAATTAAATAACCCAAATCCTATAATAGTTAAAAAAAAGTGGAAGCAATGTAATTAATTATTTTTTGTTTTTAATTAATCTGTAAATTAATATTAGTAACAAACATCAAAATATATATATTCCAACTAATAATTTACTAATATAAATCTTAAAAAAAATTTTTTTTAAAATAAGTTTGTTTAGAACAATGTAATGAATTAGGAATATTATATTTTAATCGCTAATTATCACAATTTACAATTCTATATTTTCTTTTATGAATAAAACATTCATACTTTGATTAGTATTTAAATTCCCTTAATTTAACCTCGTCCATATTATATTTATATAAAATTTTTGTAATGGCCTCATACATTGCATTGTTATATATTTAAATACAAATACGAGTAGGGTTGCCAACTATAATTGTATATATTATAACTGAATCGATTAAAACGTTTAATTCAGTTTAAAATGTGTAAAATAAAATTTTTTTGCACTAATTTTATATGCTTTGCATCGGGAATTAAGATAATTAAAATAAAAACATTCCTTATACAGTTTCCCTTTATTTAAAACTATTAATTAATTACTTAGATAATTTTTAGTATTTTATAAATAAAATGTATAATTAAAATCTTTAAAATTCACCTAAATAGGTTAAAATTAATAAAATTGCTAATAGTTGCATCTCACTTTTTTAAGTTAAAAAATTATTTTATTTATTTCATAGGCGGTATAATATTGTTTTAAGGCATGTGACTCTACATTTTCTTATATTACTATATATATAAATTAATAATATATTAAACCACTTCAAGACTTTTTTAAAGCATGATAACATTCATCTAGTTCATCTAGATTATAGATTTCAGTAATATTAGCTTACCCAATTGTGTACATAATTTATCACAAGATGATATATATAATTGTTGTTATTGTTTTTGTAGCCCGATTCGATCTAGAAAACAAGCATATATGGCAAAATAGTGTAAGATAGTGTGAAGTTTGAATTATGACCCTTATCTATATAGAAAATCATGGAAAATTAGACTGGACAACGCCCCGAATCTGTTCATCCTTGCAGTTGAACAAATGTCGTTTATTTTTTCAGTAATGAGAGAAAAAATAGATATGAGTTTATATGGCAAAAATATAACGCTTACTTATTCATAAAGTGTCGAGTAGTGTTTCTTCTCAATATACATATAAAGTAGTATGGATCGTAAAAATATTCAGTATGTTTTACAAGGATCGGTTATGTATTGTGTACGATTACCACCAGTATCTTACAAAAAAGTGGTGTTGTGAAAGCCAAAGATACAATTTTTTACGGAATGATGGTGCTAATAACGCGAGTCGGTGGTTGAGAAATCCTGGGTTATTGTTTCACCCAGAGACATTTAATGTTAAAGACAAATACAGAAATTGATCATCGAGAATGATGAGTAGAACTGTATTGATTTAGTGTGATTCTTAGTTAATTTATTTTGCATATATGTAATTGTAAAATATAAATAAGAGAAGCAATATATTCTTGCAGATTTCTCTTTTATAGTTTAAATGACTATGATCAATGTGGAAAGTAAAATTTTTGTATAAGTGAAATAATAAAGATAATAGCTTTATAATAACAAAAGTTTAACAATATTTTATCAGATCAACTGTTTCATAATGATTTTTTGTTTCTATATATATATGTATACAAACAGGTTGATTTTACAGCAGATTCAAGATATTTTGTTTGAAAAACCGAATGAATTATTAAGAAATGATACTTTAACTCTGAGTGTGATTAACATATAATATAATTAGAGCTATTGTAGTAATGAAGTGTTTTCTTTTTTTTTTTTTGTTTTTTTGAGTATGGTTTATGTATCAAATATTTTTTAAAACTATAATAAACAATTATAAATAAAATTTAATAACATATGGTACTTGATATATCTAAAAATTTATATAAAAATATAAATAATGGTTTTATGAGTTAAACTAATATATTGGAGTTACTAAGATTTATAGCAGTTTCGATCCATTATACTATTATAATACAAAATAAAACATTAATTGTTTTTGCCTATAAAATAATGTTTAAATATTAGTTGAATTTATATTGTGTCTGAATTCAAGTTTTTTTAAAATTTCGAAATATTGATCGATACATAAGCAGTTATCAATTTACAATAATAATTTTGATTATATTACATTATATATAATTTATTAACAATATATTTTATTCATTTAAATTTTTTATTAAATTTATTTAAATTTAAATGGAAATTTTCATTTGCCAAGTTATAATTCTCGAGTTATCGTAAAGCTTTTGTAATAACTATGAGTTGGCAACACTATATTTAATAATCGTTAACACAAACAAATTGCTATTGTTTGGTTATTAGTTGATAACATAAGATTTTTATTATATTTATATAGTTTCAGTAATGCGTCTATTAATTTATAAATTTACAAATAGACAATTTGTACTTTTAAATTATTTAATTTTAAATGTATTTATTATAAAAACAAAATTTAATTTTTAATTTCCGTTGCAAATTGTGTTCTTATGAGATAAAAAGCTTTCATAAAAAATATTTATATATTTTATTATATTTATGTTTTTTATACTATATTTGTATTTTTTATTGTAAACATATAAAACACTTGAATTTATTGAATTCAGAAGAAACCTAAAATAGAAAAAACATATATTTAAATTAAAGAGAAACGTCAAAATTATTATTGTCTTCCTCGATCGAATTTTGTTGTTGTTATTGTTTCTCTTGTTACGTCTTGTGTGGTTGATTCGGCGGTGTCGCTGTCGTCTTTCGAGCATTTGTTTAAGGCTGTGTGCTCCGCTGTGCTCCGCTGTGTTAGCAGCGATGAAAAGTTTATTAGTGTGTAAAATGTTTCAGTTTTTAATGTATTAAGTTGATAAATAATAAAGGTTTATTTGAAGCAATAACTTTTAATTAATTTTAATTAACAAAATAATTAAGTGCAATATTTATATTTATTAAGCTTCAATCAGAAATCGGAAAGCGGCGGTTACATTGTTTGTAATTGAATGTGTTAAGAGTGAGTCGTGTGAGTACAATACGGTACGTACACAAATATAATTGTGCGTTTTTGGGACCTGCTTCGAAAAGTGGAGAGTAGTTATTTAACAAATATATAATAACAACATGTTTTTTACGTAGTGTTCTCAAAAATAAGAAATACCAATTATGTGTTTTATTTGCAAAAACTAATCAGATACGTTTGCAAGCAGTTTGAAAGATGTTTTGAAATGAATTCGCGATGAACAAGAGTGATGTTTTTATCTGCTGCTACGTAACATAACATTACTCAATACAAACACACGTCCACACAAACTAGCCTTGTGCGCATGGAATTATACTAGCTGCTCTGAGCATGTTTATGAAATAAACGGTGAAATCAAGTAAATAATCAAAACTGCCATGTTATTAATATGATAATACGATTTAACCAAATTTATCTAACTAAAAAATGAAAAATTTTTATTGCGAATTATAAATATAGACTTTCAGTTTAAAATATTTTTGTAATATTGCATGAACTTTTCAAAAGAAATCAGCGGAAATAAACTTCATAGTATCAAATCCATTCCTACCATAATTTTAAAAAAACTCTACTTGCCTATAAAGTTTACTGTACTGTTTTATTAATAGGACTGCTTCTGATTACAAGATGCAGTTTTTATCGCTTATTAAAAAAAAAAATATGTAGTAAAAGTGCAAAAAGAAGTCAACAACTTTAAAAGCGGGTGTATTCAC